GACAGCAGCACCTGCGTTGGTCTTCCGCTTCTTCTCGTTCTCGTCCTTGAGACGCTGCAGGTGGGCTTGGTGTTCCACCTTGATGGCCTCCACCTTGGACTTCGACTCTTTGAACAGGTTGGCGGCCATGGCGGCGATGCCCTCTCGAAGCTGCGTCGCCCTGCTCTGCAGCTCCTGCTTGTCCGACTCGCTGAGCTCGAACTCCAGCTCGCCCATGTGGAAGAGCGACTCTGCAGACAAATCAAGCCAAGCCTCCAGCTTGGTGTCGTCCAGCATGTCGTCGATGGTGAGCTTGGTCCTCTCAGCGGACGGCCCGTCGACATATTCCGAGTGCAGGCGGTGGAAGAGGGCGCTGTGCTGCTTCTCGGCGGCCGCCAGCTCCTCACGCAAGGACAGCACGTGGGACTTCTGAGCCTCCAGCTGCTCCTCGATCGACTCGAACTTGAGGACGGCCGCCTCCAGCTTCTTCTCGACCGAGCGAGCGTGACCATGTGCACGAGAGAGCTGGACCTGCAGGGGCTCATGATGCTGAGGGCGGGGCGCAAGAGCCTGAGCCGCAAGGCGCGCCCTCTTAGCCCCCTCCACGTCGCCGAGCTTCTCGCAGAGAGTGGCCATCTGCTGGTACTCTTCCATGGACAGCTTGGGCTCCGACAGGGTGGTCTGGCCAGCAGGTTTGCCTCCCTTGGCGACTGGGTCGACGTAGCCGAAGCTGTGGCCCTTGCCGCTCTTGTCCCCAGGAGGCTGCACCAGACCCTTGCCGTAGCCGCCCTGCCAGACTGAGTTGGGCGGCAACCTCGTGGAGCCGCAGTGCTTGCACCAGGTGAAGTAGCTGGCGTTGCGCTTGCAGCCGCAGACCTCACACATCCAGCGTCCCCTGCCAGCCACCGGTGGAAGAGCAGAAAGCTGAGGACCAGGAACGAGAGGAGGGGAAGGGGGCGGGGGAGGGGGAGGGGGAGGAGGAGGAGGAGGAGGAGGGAGGAGGAGGAGGAGGAGGAGGAGGAAGAGGAGGAGACGGAGGAGGAGGGGCGTGAGGGCCACCGGGCTCTGTGGCCCGAATGGTGCCCGAAGCTGGGGCGCAGTCGCGCACTGAACCAGAAGCGCGATGTTGGGCACGCGCAGCTTGCTTGAACTGGGCCATCTCTGGGGGGCGCCCTCCTCCTCACCCTCATGTTCCTGCCCTTCCTCCTCCCCATCAGCATCCTCCTCCTCCTCCTCCTCCTCCTCATCATCATCATCATCATCATCCTCCTCCTCCTCCTCCTCCTCATCATCATCATCATCATCATCATCAGCATCATCATCATCATCATCATCATCATCATCATCAGCATCAGCATCATCATCATCATCAGCATCATCATCATCATCAGCATCATCATCATCAGCATCATCATCCTCAGCAGCAGCATCAGCATCAGCATCAGCATCAGCATCAGCATCATCATCCTCATCATCATCATCATCAGCATCATCATCAGCATCATCATCATCATCAGCATCATCATCATCATCGTCATCATCATCATCATCTTCAGCAGCAGCAGCATCGTCCTCCTCATCATCATCAGCATCATCAGCAGCAGCATCATCACCATCATCAATAGCATCATCATCAGCATCAGCATCAGCATCATCATTAGCATCATCATCATCATCATCATCATCATCATCATCATCGTCGGCAGCATCATCCTCATCATCATCATCATCATCATCATCATCATCAGACGGCACCCGACGCAGATTCCCATCCAACAGTGGGGACAGCTTCGCAGATCGCGAGACGATCTAAACTGTCGCACGAGATCCTCAAGCATCATGCCAGACGCCCCATCAGCACCATCATCATCGTCATCATCAGCATCATAATCGTCAGCATAAGCAGCGGCATCATCATCATCAACATCATCAACATCATCAGTATCGTTACTACTAGGCGTAAGAGTACCGGTATCATCATCCTCATCATCATCAGCACCATCAGCATCATAATCAGCAGTATCAACATAGCCATCGCAAGCACAATCATCATCATCATCATCATCAGATTCAGCATCATCAGAAGCATTATCATCATGTGCATCCTCATCATCATCACCAGCAGCAGCATCATCAGCACCAGCGTCATCACCATCAGTAGCAGCATCAGCATCATCAGCCTCATCATGATCGGCATCATCACCATCAGCATAATCACCCGCATACTCAGCATAACAAGCATTGTCATCATGACCAGCAGCATCATCGTCAGCAGCATCATCAGCATCATCCTTATCATCATCAGCAGCATCCTCAGCACGGTCAGCAACACCATCATCAGCATCATCATCATCATCATCAGCATCAACAGCATCAGAATCATGATCACAATCATCATCAGCATCAGTAGCATCAACATGGTCATCATCGTCAGCACCGTCACAATCATCGTAAGCCTCAACCTCAGCATCAGCATCATCATAAGTATCATAATAATCATCAGCATCATCATCATCATCATCATCATCATCATCATCATCATCATCATCATCATCCGCATCAACGTCATCATCATCATGCACATCAGCAGCATCACCGTCATAAGCATCATCGACGTCACCATCATAATCATCGTCACCGTCATCATCAACAGCGTCATGCATAGTCAGCATCAGCATCATCATCAGCAGCATCAGCATGGGCATCACCCTCATCATCATCAGCATCATCAGCAGCAGCAGCATGTTCATCAGCATCGCCATCACCATCGCCGTCAGCATCAGCATCAGCATCAGCAGCATCAGCATCAGCACCACCACCATCAGTATCAGCAACGTCAACATCATCATCAGCAGCACCATCATTAACATCGCCAGCATCAACATCCGCGTCATCATCATCAGAACCATTAGCATCGTCATCACGATCATCATCATCATCATCATCATCATCATCATCAGCAGCAGCATCATCATCCTTATCTTCACTAGCATCTTCAAAAAAATCGCCAGTTTGCGTTCCCTCCCGCCCCAATGCGTCCCTTCCGCGTTTCCAAACCTCCGCCCGCCCGCCATATGTGCCCTTCCGTGTTCCTTCGCCGTGTCAGTAATATGGTCTGTCCAGCCGCCCGTCTATCCCTCGTGTCTGCATCCCCCCCCTCCCCCTTTGCTGCTCCGAGATACGCCTGCTCCTCCTCCTCTTCATCATCCTCCTCCTCCGCTTCATCAGAATCATCATCAGCATCATCAGCATCATCAGCATCACCATCAGCATCATCAACATCATCATCATCCCCCTCCTCCTCCTCTTCCTCCTCCTACTCCTCCTCATCATCAGCATCAGCAGCATCAGCATCATCAGCATCATCATCATCCTTCTCCTGCTCCTCCTGCTGCCCCTCCTCCTCCTCATCATCATTCCGCTTCCTCCTCCTTCTCATCCTCCTCCTTCGCCTCCTCCTCATCCTCCTCCTCCTCCGTCTTCTCCTCCTCCACCTCCTCCTCCTCCTCATTCCTCCTCCTCCTCCTCCTCCTCCTCCGCATTCGCTTCCTCCTCCTCCTCGTCATCCTCCTCCTCCTCTTCCTCCTCCTCCTCCTTCTCCTACTCCTCCTCCTGCTCCTCAGTCCTCGCAGGACTGCCTCGCAGGAGGCCAATACTGCCGCGAGACGGCCCAAAAATGGTGAAGACAAAGGGTGCCATATACAAAGGGCAACTCGGCCATTCATCCCAATTAGCGTTTTTTCCTGAACCATCCTGAAGAGGAGAATATGGTTCGTATTGCGACAATATGAGTCGGGCGATTGCTGCGCATCGTGCCCCGCATTCGCAGATCCCTCCTTCAGCAATATGTTGCAGCTGGTATGCTCCAGGGATGGTCAAGCGACCACTGGAGTACCGTGCGCAGGCGGCGCTCACGCACGGTGCTCAGGCCGCTTCCCCGGTGCAACAACGTCTTTGCAAGAACGGTGACACGTGCAACGGCCTCCTCCTCCTCTTTCTCCTCCTCCTCCTCACCATCATCACCATCATCACCACCATCAGCAGCAGCATCATCACCATCACCAGCATCATCATCAGCGTCAGCATCATCATCGTCATCGAAAGCATAATCAGCATCATCATCATCATCATCATCATCATCAGCATCATCATCAGCAGCAGCAGCAGCATCAGCATCAGCATCAGCATCTTCTTCGACGTCATCAGCATCATCATCATCATCATCATCATCATCATCATCATCATCATCATCATCATCATCATCATCATCATCATCATCATCATCATCATCATCATCATCATCATCATCATCATCATCAATCATCAGCACTAGCATCATCACCACCACCCCAACCATCAGCATCATCAGCATTATCAGCATCAGGAGCACCATCATCATCATCATCCTCATCATCATCATCATCATCATCATCATCATCATAATCATCATCGTCAGCATCGTCAGCATCATCAGCAGCATCATCAGTGTCATCATCATCAGCAGCATCGTCATCAGCATCGTCATCATCGTCAGCACCGTCAGCAGCATCATCGTCCCATCATCCCATCATCAGCACCATCAGCATCATCAGCATCACCATCAGCAGCAGCATCAGTCTCTTGTTACTCCTCATCATCCTCCTATTATTATTATTTCTCCTCCTCCACCTCCTCTTCCTCCTCCTCCTATTCCTCCTCCCCCTCATGATCCTGCTCCTGCTTCTGCTCCTGCTCCTGCTCCTGCTCATGATCCTGCTCCTGATGTTCCTCCTCCTCCTCCTCCTCCTCTTCCTCCTCCTTATCATCATCAACATCAGCAGCATCATCATCACCACCATCATCATCAGAATCAACATCATCCATATCATCCAAATCCTCCTCCTCTTCTTCCTCCTACGCATCCTTCTCCTTCTCATCCTCCTCCTCCGCCTCCTCGTCCGCCTCCTCCTCCTCCTTTTCCTCATCATTATCCCTCCTCTCTCATGCGGCCGCATGTGCTGCATCGCTCCCCCCCATGGCACCGGCGGCGGCGCGGTGGCTGGCTGAAAAGCGCCCACGCCAGTGCTCAGCAGCGGCTGCTCCTGGTCGCGACCGGGCACAGGGAGGAATCCGAAATTCCCATGTTCCTGTTCCACATCCTTCCCCTCCTGCCTCCCCCTCCTCCTCCTCCTCCTCCTCCTCCTCCTCCTCCTCCTCCTAGACCTCCTCCTCCTCCTCCTCCTCCTCTCCTCCTCCTCTCCTCCTCCTCCTCCTCCGCCTCCTCATTACTCATCCTCCTCCTCCACTTCCTCCTCCTACTCCTCTTCCCCTCCACCTTCTCCTCCTCCTCCACCTTCTCCTCCTCCTCCTCCTCCTCCTCCTCCTCCTCCTCCTCCTCCTCATCCTCCTCCTCCTCCTCTTCCTCCTCCTCCTCCCCCTCCCCCTCCGCAACCTGCTGCTCCTCATGATCCTCCTCTCTCATCCTGCTGCTGCTGCTCCGTTTTCTCCTCCTCCTCCTCCTCCTCCTCCTCCTCCTCCTCCATCCTCCATCCCCTCCTCCCCCTCCTCCCCCTCCTCCTCCTCCTCCTCCTCATCATCATCATCAGCATCATCATCATCATCATCATCATCATCATCATCATCATCATCATCATCATCATAATCATCATCATGATCATCATCATCATAATCATCATCGTCAGCATCATCATCAGCATCATCATCAGTGTCATCATCATCATCATCATCAGCAGTAGCAGCAGCAGCAGCAGCAGCATCATTACCATCATCAGCAGCAGCATCATCCTGAGATTCGTCTTTCCTATGTTTCCTCCTCCTCCTCGTCCTCCTCCTCGCCCTCCTCCTCCCTCCTCTTCCTCGTCCTCCAATTCCTTCTTCTCCATCCCTTTTCCTGATCAACAAATCCTCCCTGTCGCACCCCGAGTCGTGTCGGCAGGGCGGACTGGGCGTTCAGACCGAGGCTTCCCCACGAACTGTAACCCTTAAGCGTAGAAGGTGCAACAGCTTCACGGGTGACGGGCGGGTGGTGTTGAGAACGTAGCTCGTGCCTTCGTGCCGCGCACACTCGTCGCAGAAGTTGTCTTGCAGGTTCACGGAAGGAGGGCGGACAATGTTCAACACGTGGCTCTCGTCTTCGCACCGCGCGCATCCGTCTTAAAAATGGCGCAAGGGTTTTACGGATTGAGGGCGGGCGGTTTTCCAAACGTGGTTCTCGCTTGAGCGGCGCGCACGTTCGTTTTCAAAGTGTACAAGAGATTCGCGGATTTAGGGTCGGCGGTTTTCAAACTGTGTCTCTCGCCTGAGCGCCGCGCACACTCTTCTTCATCAGTCACAGCAGCTTCAAAGATTGCTATGGCCGATGTCCCACAAACAGTGGCATGGTTTAGGACTGCCAGTGCGCAACAGTCACGTTGATTCGCGGTGTCGACGGCCAAGGAATGGCGTCCTGGCACGACTGAGGAATGTCAGGACGCACTTCTAGCGTTGATTCGCGGCGTTGAAGTCCCAGGACTGGTGTTCTGGCGCAGTTCAAGATGTTCAGACGGTTGTCGTCCAACGGGGCACTTCCCCCAGTGAAAACACATCGTACAATGGCCTATGGCATATGAAACAAGAAACGTGAAAGGAAGGTGTATTGCAGCAGCGTTGGTACGTCGTGGGTTTACACTGGTCTCCCTCCGTCTCCTCCTCAGTCGGTCAGTCGGTCGGTCGATCGGAGCTTACGGCTATAGATGGATTGCAGCCTGTCCTGAGTTGGAGTAAAGATAGGAAAGATGATATCTCCTCCCCCTGTTTCCTCTCTTTCAAGTGTTACCGATCCCCTTCTGCCACTCCCCCTCTTCCTCCCGTCTCCCTCCACCCTCCTCCTTCCTCCCTCATCCCTCTTCCCCCTCCTCCACCACATCCTCCACCGCATCCTCCTCCTCTCCGATTTACATACCTACCGACCGACCGACCGACCTACCTACATATCTACCAAACTGCCTACCCACCTACCGACCTGCCGACCTACCCCTTCTACTTAACACTCCCCCCTCCGCCTTCCTCCCTCCTCCCTCCTCCCGCCTCCTCATCCTCCTCTTCCTCCTGCTCCTGCGCCTGCGCCTGCCCCTGCTCGTGCTCTCCCCGTCGCCCTCCAGGAGGGAGCCCGCTCCCCCTTCGAACGGCGAGCTCAGAGCGAGCAGAGGAGCACGAGCGGGCGGGGAGGAGGGGAGCGCTGGGGCGCAAGGCAGGGGGAGGAGGGGCGAGGAATGGAGGGAGCGGGAGGAAGGAGGGAGGAAGGAGAACAGTAGGCAAGGGAGGAGGCAAGAGAGGAAGGGAAGGGAAGAGGTGGAGAGAGTGTGGGAAGGAGCAGGCAGGAGGCGGCGGAGGACCAAGGGAGGATCAGGGGAAGGAGGACCTGCATATATTGTCACTGTACTGCTGCTGGGCGGCGCGACGGATGGACGAATCGGGTCGAACTCGAAGGGGCCATAACGTCTGTTTGAAGGGGCCCAAGGACATACAAATAAATACACACAAATAAAAGGATTCCCCATATGTTCCTATATTTTCTGGGTTTCTGCCTTCCCCCCCACTTCCCATAGTTTCCCATATTTTCTGGGAAATCGAGGATTCAGTGTGTCTGTGTGTTTCTTCCCCTCCTGACTGTTATCGAGCCCACTGCGCTCGAGCGGCATGCAAACCTCGGAGCAGAAGCCCAACCAACTGCGCCGTACAAAAAAATGCACCACGTGCTCGCGCGCGCGTCGTGGGCGGCAGCTCTTTTTGCTGGAGGCGGCATCAGTTTTGCCATGACCAGGTCTGGCCAAACTCATGTTTCCGACTCCACGCGATGACCTGGGGCAGCCAAAAATCAAGCGTACCCGCCGGCTCCGATGGAGAGGCCAGGAGAGTGGTAACGGAGAGGAGAGGGAAGGCAAGGCAGGAGAGGGAAGTCAAGGCAGGGCAACCAGACGGATGAGCAGGAAGAGGAGGAGCGGCAGGAGCGATGGCGGAGGATCAGGAGCAGGAGCGGGAGCGGGCGAAGGTCGAGGAGCAGCAGCAGCAGGAGCAGCAGGACGAGGACGAGCCATGAAGAGGGGAGGAAGATGAAGAGGGTGTGCACGTGTCGATCTTCGCGAGCAACGAGGAGTCATCGGTCTCTCTCGTGAACACTACCCCTCGCTCAGCGCATCCCCCATGCGGAATACTGACTCAAAGAGTAGCGGATACCACCCCTTCTGGCGATACCTCAGACCATCATCAGCATCATCAGCAGCAGCATCATCAAAGTCACGATCATCATCATCATCAGCATCATCATCATCATCATCATCATCATCATCACCACCATCATCATCATCATCATCATCAGTAGCAGCAGCAGCATCATCATCATCAGCAGCAGCATCAGTATCGTCGGCATCGTCATCATCATCATCATCATCATCATCATCATCATCATCATAATCAACATAATCATCATTGTCATCATCACCATCATCATCAGCATCAGCAGCATCAGCAGCATCAGCATCAGCATTATCAGTATCAGCATCAGCATCGTCATCATAATCATCATCAGCATCAACAGAATCATCATCATCATCATTATCAGCAGCAGCATCAGCATCAGCATCATCATCATAATCATCACCATAATCAGCAGCATCCTCATCAGTAGCATCGTCGTCATCAGCAGCAGCATCATCATCAGCATCATCATCGTCAGCATCATCATTATCATCAGAATCGTAAGCATCAGCAGCATCGTCGTCATCATCAGCAGCATCAGCATCAGCACCAGCATAATCATCAGCATCATCACCATCATCATCAGCATCAGCAGCATCAGTATTGGCAGCAGCAGCATCACCATCATCGTCGTCAGCATCATAACCATCGTCATCATCATCAGTCAGCGTCCTCATAAACACCACCATGTTCTTCAGAATCACAATCATCACCATCATCAGAATCACCATCACCATCATCGTCATCAGCATCATCATGATCATCACCATCATCATCAGCAGCATCAGCATCATTATGATAATCATCATCAGCAGGAGCATCATCATCAGCATCATCATCATCGTCATCATCATCATCATCGTCGTCATCATCATCAACCGTCTCCTCCTCCTCCTCCTCCTCCTCCTCCTCCTCCTCCTCCTCCTCCTCATGCTCCTCCTCCTCCTCCTCATCCTCCTTCTCCCGGTGCGACCCGTCGAATGCCAGCCTAACTTGAGACATCAGCATGGGCCCCAAGTACTCTCCCCAAGGCCCGTAGGCGTCCACAATGACGACGGAATCGAAAGCCGACCGAACAGAAAGCGAGACCGGAACCGACCGTACCGGAAGACCGCATGCAGCCTAGAAGGACGCAGCGGCGCACCAGCCGACCGAACCAAATCGACCGAACGCAGCCGAACCGACCGCCGAACCGCGGACACGCCTGAAGGAACTGGAGCTCGGTGGAGCGCCAACTGCGAACGGGGCCTTCCAGCGCAGCGGGGCAAAATCTCTCTTCCCCCCACCTTGCCATCGCTCGGACGTCCATTCCCCGTGCATGTGTCGGTCTCGCGCGTGCTTGCATTGCCACATGATCCAGGACGCGGGCAAACTAAGAAGGTACTGATACCGCTACCCCCCTGACCTCCCCCGGGCCGCGTTCTGACCAGGACTTCGAGGCGAATCCAGCGGTGGCGACGAGGGCGCCTCCCAGGAGGCCCAAGAATGGGAAAACGGGCGAAAGGGTAGAGATATGGGTACCTTTGAAGGGGCCCCAGGACACACAAATAAATACACGCAAATAAAAAGATTCCCCATCGTTTCCCATATTTTCTCGGGTTTTGTCTTCCCCCCCACTTCCCATATTTTCCCATCTTTTCTGGGGAATCGAAGATTCATTGTGCCTGTGTGTTTCTTTCCCTCCTGAACCTGTTCCTCCTCCGAGGATGCTCCTCGATGGCCCCCGCCGAGACAAGGAGTGCACGCGTCCGAGCGATGCCGAGAGCCCACCGCGGCTCCCCCGAACGCCTGGGGCCGCCGGCGGGCTGGCGGCGGGGGGGGGTGCACAGCGCAAGGGAGGGGCGGC